AATCCAGGACAACCTTGTGGATCTATATTAATACACTGCATTAATTCGGAGGACTTGACAACTATACAGATTTCTCAGAAGTCCAGAATGAATGCATCACACAAAATCATGATGTGGAGCTGGAAGCAGGACCAGAGAAAGCCACATCCAAAAACTGCCATGATATCAAATCAGCTAATGAACCTGCAAAAAAACTAAGCTCACATTGTGAAAGTCTGTTATCATAAACATGCAAAGCCAATATCAGCATTTTATAACTAATAAAACTTAGTTTTACTGCTCAGTGTGGGATAGGAGGTCTGCAAAAAGCTGCAGCAGCAAGAATTTACTCATGTCTAATTAGCTAAATTGTTGTATAGATGGAACTTCATGCTGAATCTTCCCATATGTTTGACACAAAACAGGAATTAAGAAAATTCAGAAACAGTGAGGCTGTCCAGGAGACAATTCCTATGGAAACTTTTTTCTATCTTCATCAAAATGTGAACTGTACAAAATATTATAGTCCCAACACATCTGACTTGGAGGGTTCCAAAACAGGTGAGTGATTAAAATATCACCTGATGTCAGACCCTTCAAGAACAGCAACCTCAGTAAGGAGCTCAAACTACAACTGATACTGTTTTACAGCTGATCTAGAAAGTGGAATGTATTGACATGGGTACTGGCTGTCTGTGTTGGATCTGGTTGGGATAGAGATCATTTTCTTCATACTAGCTGGGAACAGTGTTGGTAATAGCTGTTTTTGTAATTGCTGAGCAGGGCTTACACAAAGTCAAGGCCGTTTCTGCCTATCACATCACCCCACCAGCAAGGAGGCTGGGGTCACAAGGAGCTGGGAGGAGACACAGCCAGGACAGCTGATCCCAGAAGATCAAAGGGACACGCCACATCACAGGATGTCATCTCAGCACTAAAATTAGGGGGGAATACAGGGGGAGGGGGGGAGCACTGTTCAGGGGCTGCTGGGCATTGGTCAGGCCTGATTCTCTCCCTCATCCCACCAGAGAAGGTGTGTGTGGCTTTGTGGTGCTTTAGCTGCCGACTGGGAAGCACTCTGGGGTTTACAGCCCCTATATATCCTGTGGAAGCAAGATTTTTGATTTGAGATAAATTTGTCTCCATATCCTTCTTTGGCTGTAGCACTGTATAAACTCTTCCCACCTAAATGTAAGTAATGCAAGAAGTTTACAGAGTCTGCAGGCTCTTACATGCTCACTCTAGTAGCCTCCAAGAGGTAGAGTAATTCTCACATCACCTAAGTGATGGTTTCCCTCTCCTTTCTTCACAGGTGGAACGGAGGGCTGAGCTGAAGAATGGCATAGGTAATTAGGAGGCATCAAGTTTTCAGGAAGTCTCTTTGCCTTCTCTTACCACAGGAAGAAAAAAAGAAAAGAAAAAAAAAAAAAAGGGAAAATTTCAGTTTTAAGAACTTTATAATGTAGGAATTGTGCTGACACACAGAAGCCTGCATCATTCCAGGACACAAACAGCTCCATAAATTGTGGTTTGTCCTTATGTTGCAAGCAATGCCATGCATTAAGGGACATACAATTATCCTGTTATGGTTGAAAACCATCTTTAAAACATGCAGGCACTAAAGCCTTATTCTCTTGGTAACACTTAGTCCCACTGGTACATATTTAACACCCTGTGCTTACTCACAAACCAAGCCAACTTTCTCTGCTAAGTAGAGAGATTTCTGAACTGAAATGCTTTTTCTGCAAGCCAAAGGTTGCAACAGATGAAATTCAGCAATAATTAATGTACCACTGAAATCAAAACCATACATTGCAGACACACCCTGAGCTTGTTCTTCCACTGCATCAACAGAATTTCAATGGTGAATCTTTTGTAATATCTATTAAAATCTGGCTTGAATGCTGAGCACCAAGATAAAAAACTATTTTAATCAAACTATCCAATAAATACGTGAACCTAACGTGTCCTTGCAGATCCCTGCGTCTGTCTCTCTACATATTTCTAGTGGGTTTGATTCCCAGACCACTAGATTTTGCTTGCTAGAAGAGATTAAAGTCTTTTCAGTATGCAACCTATTTTATATTGTTAAAGAAACAACTTCTAAAGAAAGGTTTGTACAGGGCCTTTGCTAAGGTGAGGCCTTCTTAACCCTGTGCTTAAGGGGAAGTCAAACATACTTTTCAGTTGCTTTTCCACTGAGTTTGGGCTTATTTTGTGAGATTTGTATCTTCATAAGCAGTAAAATCTGTTGTAGTGTTGGGATTGAGAAAAATTGCACAAAGAATGAAAGCTACTGGTAACACACATGGAATCCACTTCAGTAAAGAGAGGAAAAGTTACCAACCAATTCTGATTTTGGTGCAGTAATTCAGTAACACAACACTGATACAATACTGTATCAGTAATAATGCAGAAACTCTTCTATACTGTCTAATGAATCATTAAATATTCACATTAATCTCTGACCATGTGCCAGTTAGACTTCAAATCATTAAATCTTGTGATGTCCCATTTTCCTTGTTATACCCTCCTTCCCAGAAAACGCACCTGCAGCTCATAACACCACATAAATGTAGATTCCAGGCTCTGCTGTTAAATCAGCAAATTTGGATGCTTTCCTTAAATCATTCAGCCACTTCCAAATATTCAGTCTTTATTTAAAAGCAGTGTGTAAAGTTGCATTCCATCTTTCAAGATTTGTATTTTCTGGATGTATTTTTGTATTTTTCTCAGAGCTCTGGCTCACCAGTGGTGTCATTACCATAGCTCGTGGAGTTTTTTTAAGGTCTGATCCATAACTATGTAGATGTCCAAAGCACTCAAGATTCAGCTGCTCAACAGCTATAAAGCAGCACTCTGCAGTAATTCACTCCATCTCCCTGCCTCCCTTAAAACACCATGGTGCAAAGTTGCTGCTGGTGGCAGCTAATGATGTTCACCTGCTTGTGGAAGCCCAGATTTACTTCAGTCTCAAATACATAAAAAACAATTCTCTACAAATAGTACATGGCCTGAAGAAATAGATAATTGATCCATGCTGTAGAAAATGATAGCACAGTTTAATATTTTCAGTCAGAGTTGAAATGCTGATTAGTGGAAGAGCATCTTGAGTTGCCTTTTTTTTTTTTTTTTTTGGTAATCCTTTAAATAACATTATTTTAGTCTATAATTATTATTTTAAGCGCACTTGATCCAGTCATTAGCATTTTAGTGAAAGTGAAACTGAGCTGTATATAAACAACACCAATCAAAAGGAAAAAACTGCAAACTCAGTTATGTTAGGTTGGTTTGCAGGCTGGCAGAAGGCTGTTTATACATGAGGAATTTAAGATTTCAGGCTATGAGAGCCACAAGTTCCCAGATACCTGCCTTCCCACTTGGGAATTGATCCATGTTTACGCATTGAAACTGGGGGAAGTGATTTTTTACTATTCCCATTTGTCCACCAACCACTCTCACACAGACAGTTGAAGGGGAGGGAGAACATCTTCCAGGTGACAGCCTGGTGCGTAAAAGCAAAAAAATAAATCCGTTTAGTTAACATGGTGGGCTGCAAGTGTGGTGGTAAACATGACAGTGTGCTGCACTCGCAGAGCCACAAGAGCTGCAGGTGAGGGGGTGAACTGGCAGAGCAGTCTGACCAGTACTTTAGTAACCATCACCCACCCTATTATCATGGATTAATTGGCACTCCTTGGAAAACCGCAGAAGGAATTAATCAAGAAAGAATGCAGACGACACAAGAACCAAGACAAGCCAGAAGTAAATACAAGTCACCTTCACAGGGGACTTCACCTGAACATATGACAAACGACAAAAGCCCTGTAGCCCTCAGAACGTTCAGTTGTTCAGCCAAGTTCCAGTTCGATGTCACTTACACTGGATATAACTACATTTGATGACTGAGTGCACACAGACACTGCCGTGCCTTTTGAGTAGGATCTAATCTCCAGCTGCACAGCTATGCACTTCATCATTAAACAGAGAGGCAGATCCAATGTGCTCTTTTAAATACATTTCCAACTAAAAACAACCCAATAACAACTTCAAATGAAGGTGGAGCTTACTAGACCATAAGCACCCTACAGGTTCAGCAAGAACCTTAAGGGAGAAAGTTCTTGAATAATTAATGCAAATCCTCTCAGTGAAAGTTTTGTGTCTGCAACTAATCTATATTTGTCCAGAGAAGGGCAATGAAACTGGTGAAAGGTCTGGAGCACATGTTCTATAAAGAGCGGCTGGCTAAGGGAGCTGGGGGTGTTTAGCCTAGAGAAAAGGGAGTTTAGGGGGAGCCTTATCACTCTTTATGTACAAATACCTGAAAGGCGATTTTAGCCAGGTGGGGTTGGTCTCTTCTCCCAGGTAACAAGTGACAGAACAAGAGCATATAGCCTTAATGTGCGCCAGGGGAGGTTCAGGTATGACATTAGGAGGAATTTCTTCACAAAACGGGTGATTAGACATTGGAATGGGCTGCCCAGGGAGGCGGTGGAGTCGCCGTCCCTGGAGATATTTAAGGAAAGACTGGACGTGGCACTTAGTGCCATGATCTAGTTGACAAGATGATGTTCGGTCATAAGTTAGACTCCATGATCTTTTTTTCCAGCCTAATCGATTCTGTGATATTTGACAATTCACCTCACCGCACGAGTCACACATGAAAGCGGAGGTTCTCAGCCTCCATCCCAGAAACAACACAAGTGTCACCCACGCTTTGCGCCCTTCAGCGTTGTTTCAAAGTAACGCGATCTCCCGCCGCAGGAGCACCCGGGAAACCCGAGTCCCCGTCTTTTAGGGCTTAAAGACACGTAGACTCCCTCCGTGCCTCGGGGTTAAGTCCTGCTGCCACCCGCTTCTCCCGGCGGCAGACAGTGGGAACACTTGGGTGTCGGCAGGCGGGCGCAGGGCCCGGGGGCACAGAGCCTCTCCNGACTCCCGCTGTCCCGCGGGGGAAACCTCGGGCAGCCCCGGGGCCCCTCACGGCAGCGGGGAGGGGAGGGAATGGGGGCCGGCGGCAGCTCTTCCCGCTGCTGTGGCGCTGTCCTGTGCCTCTCGCCAGTCTGTCTGTCTGTCTGTCTGTCCCGCAGGCCAAAGAGGCGCTGGAGAAAGGAGAGGTTCCCGTGGGCTGTCTGCTGGTCTACAACGGCGAGGTCATAGGCAGGGGCGGGAACGAGGTCAACGAGACGAAGGACGTGAGTTGAGGTCGGCCCGGGGGCACCGCGGCTCGTCCCATTGCTGGGTCTCAAACGTGCCCTCCTAAAGTCACCCGGGGGTTAAGAGCCAGAAATGCCTCTGCAGCCTCTCCTGATGGAGGTCTGTCCACAGGCCAGCGCAAAAAAAGCTATTTCCTGTAGGTTTTTAGACCTATTGCAACTTTAACCATTAAATTAGGTATGAGATCTGGTGCCGAGAGACCTATTAATGCCAACAGAGATTTTGTACAACTGTAAGTTTTGTAGAAATTAATCTGACTGCAGGATCTGACTGTAATTTTTATTAGGTGTCTCAAATCCGAAAACATAATAAAAAGTTTGAATTAGTCTTTTAAGCTCAAAAATGTAACAGTGCAGATGAACCATTATAGTAATTTGTTCTGCGAGACAATCTGTAATGCATTAAGAGGATTTTAATACAGCTTTAAGGAAGCCAGATGACAGAGAAGTTAGGTATCTCATGTTACACCATTGTAAACACTGTGGGGAAGCAGACTCTTCTTGGGAAAATCATGCCAGGGGTACTAATATTGTGAAGAAATCACATGTTAATAGACAGAACATAACTGAAAAGTTATGTAAAAAGTTTTGAAAAATTTACCAAAATCAACTTAAAAATCTCAGGGAGGCTTTGAGGCATTTTTGATGTCAGGGCTGTCTGAAGGTGCATACTAAAATGCAAGTAGCCTGATTTAAAAAAAAATTGGCCGGGTTTTGGAAACAGGAATCTGTTAATATCTTTTAAAGCCAAGCTTTTTTTTTTTTTTAAATTGCTGCTTAGCTCAAGTTTCAGTTCTTTTGTGGCTCAATTTTCATAAATGTTTATATTATAGTGATTGGAAATGCTGGGTACTTAGTGCTTCTAAATTTTTTATCAGATACGTAATTGCTCCATGTTGTCTAAAAAAACAATGTAAGCTTGAAAGAAGTACTTGGTATGAAATGTGAACATAGGAAATTGTTTTCAGTTTTCTCCTAACGATTTCTGGCTTTATTTAGGGAATAAAAACATTTGTTTTATTGTGGAAAAAACCCAATCCTCTTGAACATTGAGGCAGTTCCAGCAGATATCATAAATGTCAAGGTCTGTTTTAAGACTAATTTCTTGTCCCACCTTATATTGAAGGCCTTCTCCAGAACATCATTCCTCAGATGTCTAAAAAAATATCTGATTTCCAGTTTCAAACTTTTTATGTTCTGTTTATATCCCCCTGCTCTTGTGCCAGCATCATCACTTATTTTACATAGCTTGGATGTATTTAAAGTCTTATTTCTTTACAGCTTTTGTTTTCCCCGAGACAACTGTTTAATTTCCTCTCAGAAGACAGGCTTGTTTTCTGTGTTCATTATAATAATTCTTTTACTTAGCCATTCCAGCTTTGATTCATTTTTCCTTGAATTCACTTAACCAGAACTCTGTATTTTATTCCAGATGGACTTGTGCTGTTTGATAACGAAAGTACTTCACATTTTCCCTGGAAAAAAGTCCACCCATCTTTTCTGGAGCTTCCTTGGTCTTTTATGCTGTTTTGTTATTTTGAATTTCTTTTTTTTTATTCCCATCTAGAAGGCCATCCACCTCCTGAGTGAGAGCCTCACCTTGTCACTTCTCGTGATGTCTTTCATACAAAAGACATCATCAGCTGTTTTCTGTAGCATTTCCAGTTAATGCCAATGACACAACTGAAAACACTGAAGCCAAATGATCTTTGAGTGTCTATGACAGTGAGTTCCTTCTGGACATACATTTCTCCTGTCAATGCAATGTCTCTTCTTTTCTTGCTCACCTTACATTTCTAACATTAGGCTTTTTTCCCCACTCACAATAATTTCACAGGTTGTGCTGTGCCAGATGCACTGGAGATGTCTAGGAAGACTGGCGTTTCTCTTGCCTAGAAAAAACATTTGTCAAAGAAAATTACTAGGTTAATTTAGTGTCAGCTATCTTACTGTGTTTTTGTTTAATTTACCTTTTATAAGGACTAGTCCTTATAACACTGCTTTCAAAGATTTGTAATCTTGCCTGTTTTATTATTGAGATCCTCCTGGATCTATAGGTGTCAGGATTGTATGACACCTGTCCTTCCTGGTTTTTATTACAGTGACTCTGTTTGCTCTAAAGGTTTTACTCAGGCAATATTCTGCCTTAATGTATTAAAACATTGCTGTAAGACTGGCAGCTTTCTGGCCTCCATAATGCAGCTTTATAACATACTGACTTTTTTAACTTCATGAAAATTTTGTTCCTGCTTTGCAAAATAGATCTTCAGTCCTTCCCTGCAATTCTGCCTTTGGTCAGGAATCAGCTTGCCTCCGAGCCTTGTGTCAAATAAATTCTGTCTTCTCCTTAAGCAGGAACCTGCATCCTCTGATGTAACAGGCTGAAGTTAGGAGCAGGTACTGTCTTCTTTAGGCCCTCTTCCATTATGTTCCTAAACTGCTCATTTTGGCAAAAAGATTTAGTTGCCAAAAACTCCAGTGTTTTCAGGCTGTCTCCTGTCACCCTGCATCCTTTTTTTTTTCACCTGCAGCATCCACAGCAGAACACATTAATGTCAGAAATACTGCTGCTTACTTCTGTGGAAGTTATTTGCAAAATTACTGGTCATTGTATTCTTCTGGGAGGAATTGCTGTTGGGACAAGGGAGTTTGTACACAGCTGTGTTTGGTTTATTTAGTTTTATTTTTTTAGGAGCATGGCTGTGACATCAGCATTTCAAAATAGTCAGACATGGCACTACTTGTCTTTGTTGGGCAACAGTGAGCAAATGTCTGTGTAAGACATTGGATTTAGACAGGCTGGCGATTCATTCACAAACTTGTGTCAGTGCTGCGTGCCCTCTGGCAGCTCCCACACTTGCTTGTTCACAGTCTTGCCTCAGACCAACCTGAAAATTTTCTCCCTTACAACATGTGTGACCCTTCTCAGCTAGAAATGGTTTTTTGGCATCTCTATTCCCATATGTGATGCAGTCCTTCACTTCCCAGTAAAATGTGCTCTGTCTTAGGTCCTTTGTTGATAACACACAGACATCTCCTCTTTGTTCTGTCCTGTTGGGTCATTGTAGCAAGTGTCCTGCAGGCACAGTACTGGATAATTGAAAATGAAGTATTGTTTGTGTAGTGAAGCCACAAGATAACGCAGAACTTTGAGCTTTGGCCCCCTTTACTCTCACATGTTAATTATGGGCTAAAATTTAGAAAGTAAGCATTTTAGGGCGGTGGTGATATCTTTTTTTTCTCTGTGAAACGTTTGGGGCACTGTCAAGCCTTTCACCCCACAGAGTCAGCTTTTTTCCCTTGGTATACCATTTGCCACTCTGTAACAATTCTCATTTTCCCTTGCTACTCTTAACCTGTTTTTGCTTTCTTGACTTTAAAGTAGTGTAAAATATTTGGCAAGTTAAACTTATGAATTGAGTCAGTGATTCAAAATTAAAATAATCCATCTAATACATTATTTCAAGTCTAAATAGGAAGTCAAAAAAAGGCTAGCTAGTCATGGCTTAATACAAAACAAAATCTTAAGACAGATCTAGAAGGTCAGTTTTTCCCTTATATCTTGTCTTTAAGATGGACCTTTAATAGGTGTGTAAGGAGGGAGCTCAAGAAACAAGAAGTAGCACATTCTTTCCACTTCTGAAAGTGAATAACTTAGGATTATATAATAACTTGCCAGAGTCCAAGACTATATCTGGATCATTGTTTCTGATAGCTGTCCATGCACATATCCTCCATGAATTTGTCTAAACCTTTTTTGAACTCATTTATGTTTTTTGTTTCCATAGCATCCTGTGGCAATGAGTTTCACAATGTAATTATGTGATTTGTGAGAGTACTTCCTTTTGTTTGTTTTATATCTGCAGCCTGATAATTTCATTGGGTGCTCACTTGTTATGAGAAATAATAAATCACAGTTATAACTGATTTTTCCACATTTTTCTTGATTATTTTAAAAACCTCTACTGTAGTCCTCTTAACTTGGAAAACTAATGACTGTATCTGTTAAGAGCCACAGTCTAATTAGTCTCCAAATGGAGACTGTTCTGTAACTTGGATAACTCTTTCTCACCCTGAGGTGAATTTGTCCTGGTGTTCCTGTGTCTTCAAGACACAAGATGACCAAAACAGTGTGTGTTGCTTAATATATGAGTACACTGGTATGTAGTAATGTTCTATATTAGTGTAATTTTGTTTTTGTAGCTGACTTCTCTTACTGCAGAAGCTGGCAGAACCTGCAGCAGCTGTATGGCCTTTCTAGGAGTTTTGAAATGTTTTTGAACAGTATTAAACATGAGTCCTTTGTCATGTATTATAGAGCATCTCAGTGTTATCACCAGATCTTTACAGTGCTGAAACATTAACCCAAGTTCATGTTTTGAGAGGAAAATATCAAGGGACATATGAGGACATGCACAACAGAAGTACAACTATAATCTGGATTGATTAAGTCTTACTCTAATGCTTGTGTCAAAAACACCCTTTTTTTTTTTTCAGAATAAATAGGAAAGAAGGAAAATACTAATAGTCTTAATTCAGATAAGCATCAGGCTCTGACTGAAGAGTCTTTTCAAAACTATTACTTCCTGAAATTTTTGCTGTGATATTTCATTGGTGTAACACAGTGTTGCAGACATTTCAGAGCAGTACTGGGACATTACTGATTATTTTGGTCTCTCTGCAATTAAAGTCAACACTTCTGTTCAGGTTCTTGTGCCATAGACATTGAGATACTAATCATTTAGTTATCTTGGATAAAAGAAAGAGAAATTAATATTCCTTTGTCTTTTTGTAATAAGTCATATGCTAAACTCCTTGCCTATTACTTGAGGGACTTATTGTACACATATGTTTCCCCAAGCAGCATTAAACCTGAGGCAAACTGAAAGTGTTGTGTGTACAGAGCACACCAGTTGCAGAAACATACTGAAACTGTTGCATGTTCACAGTGTATTCATTCCTTGTGAGCACAGAAATATTGGCAGAGGGAGGAGCACTTTGTTAGTATTTCCAAAGAAAGTAATTGAGCCTGTATTCTTGCTTTTGGAAGTAGAGTGGACTGTGGGCTACATCAGTTGTGCCAGTGGGCTTTGTGTGTCCCTTAAGCCTCAAGCAGAGCTTTCATGTCTTGCCTCACTGTACTGGCATGACTGAGAGAGGAGAACTTCAGAGCATGCTCCTCTGCCTAGGAAAAAATAGAAGAAAAAAATGGCACTTGTACATCTTGTGTGGTACATAGGTTGTGGTTGAATATTTTCTTTCTTGGGTTGAGTATTTTTTCTGCAGTCTGGGTGGTATGAAATTTCTTTTGCAACTTGAACCAGCAAAGAGCATTACATTACTTCTATAACAAAATCGAATTAATGCAAACTTTAAAGAAAATACTTATTTTTATCTTCTAGGCTACTCGACATGCAGAAATGGTGGCAATCGACCAGGTCCTTGACTGGTGCAAGCAACACAAGAGGGATTATAGGGAAGTGTTTCCACAGCTGGTGTTGTACGTAACTGTAGAGCCCTGTATCATGTGTGCAGCTGCTGTGCGCTTGATGAGTATCCTTTCGTGCTGACTCACACTGGGAAACTCTGTGTCAAACCATTACTCCTTTGGCAGTGAGCCCACAAAGAAAGGCTTGGCAGTGTCAGGGAAGAAACCATGAGGGGTGGTTTGAGGGTCTGCACCCACCTCCATGATGAATAGTGAGAGACTCAAGAGTGAAAGAGAGATGCAGTTGTAACTATAGAGAGGTGGAGTTATAACAAACAACAGGTTACAACAAACAAGCTCTTAGAGATTAAAAATACATTTCAGAGATGTCTGTTAGCATATAAAGGGAGCTATAATATCACTCATATAAAATGAGTGTTCAGTTTTGAATGTTGTATCAATCAGTAAACCATGTCTTTGTATGCCCCTGCTTTGGGGATTCACAGTTCCCCTTTTCTGAGATAGGCTGGATGTGCATCTTCAGCAATACATCTTACATCATTCAAGTAAATTCCAATTTTATGAGGGAGAAATTGTAGCTCAAACTAATTTAGTTTGAAGAGTGCAAGCACGTTGTAGGAAATTTGATGACTGCATAGATCAGGCTTCTGTACTTCCTGCTTGTTTTTCACTCATTACCTTGACTCACTCCCATAAATTCCACGGGTCGTGTATGGCTGTCGAAATGAGCGATTTGGAGGCTGTGGCTCCGTTTTGAGCATCTCGTCCGATGAGATGGTGGACTCAGGAGACCCATTTGAAGTAGGCTGTAAAATGTTTTCCTTTGTTATCCAGCTAGAGTACTGGGCTTCCTTACTAGGCTTCGAGAATGTTACGCATCACTTTAAGGGGACACAGATGGAAGAGGATCAAAGTCAAGTAAACTTGGCTTAATAAGAAAATAACATAAAAAAATTAGGTTGTTAAAGAAAATTGAGGAAAGCCCTGATGACAGTCTTTAATTATTTAAAAGGATGTGTCAAAAGGTAAGGGAAAGAATTATGCTTGTGGAATAAGGTAAGAATTAAATATATCTAAAATATGTGTAATACTTAGAACAGTAAGTATATGCTGCAGGAAGAGATTGAGGGAAAATTATTTTAAGCTGCAGAATGTACAAACACATAATCAATAAAGATCAAGTAACAGCAACTTACAAAATTAATGGGTTTTAGTTGAGCCATCAGAAATGATTGTATTTTTGTTTTCAGTCTGTGTGTTTATGAGATAAAATGTATTAGCTTACATTTATTTCATGTAGTTCAAATCCCAGAATAAATCTGAACTGCAACAGTAGCAGAGGAAATTCAGTTTAGGTATCAAGAAACTTTCTGAATAGTAAGGATACTGAAAGAACAATGTCTGGGGTGATTAAGGCATCTTTGTCATGTGAGAAAGGCTGGACAAACATTCAGTGGAGGCGGAGTATAAGTAAATCTAGGTGCTTTACAGCATGATGCTGCCTATGTGCCCATTACATGTAGAGAGTATTTCTAGCTTTTTATTTATTACATGATCCACAGTTGTACATGAGCTTGCCTTGTAAAGTGATACTGATTCCTGGAGTTCTTTTCCACATTTCACATAAAGGATTTAATGAATGTAAAAAACAAGTAATGTATTTTGGCATTGTAAATAAGCACTAAAGGCTCAAGGCTCAAAGAATTTCAGTCAGCAAGACAATACTGTTTGGTACTCTAGTGTAAACATATTAAGCATCTTTCTGTCAGTGTGTCAGTGAGGCATCTGAATTAATTGGTGTACTCAGTACTGAAAGGGTGTTCATTTGCTAACATTGGCATGTGGTATTTAACTTTTTTATACATTCAGAAGACAGAAAGGAGAAGGTTCTTGATACTATGAATCCTTTGTTTCTGTAGGCAACTGCAGTGGAATGTAAGTAATAGGAGTAACTACTTATTTTCTAGTATGGGTGGAGATTTATTTAGTGTGGGTGACATTTAAATGCTTTGTCATTAGTATTCATGGCATGGAAAAGCCATTTAAAGGACCAAAAAGATCTGAAAGGTGACTGTTAGGAATAAAGAATAGGTATGTGGAAGAATTTTTTCTCTCAGGAATCTTGTATGTCTCTTATGTTTCCAAGTGCTTGAGTGTGGGAGGTTTGAAACACATTAATAAGAATGAAATTGTAGATTGCATAAATTTTACATAATTTACTAAGAAAGTTTCTTTTGCCTAATATTAAGTTATTAAGGAAATTACTTGCTCTACTAAGCCTCAATATAGTGTTTTCCTGATGTTTTAGGTATTAAACCTGAAATGGAGATTTTTTTCTGACCCCTAAGTTGACAGTACAGTTGTTTAAAATTGTTCTGTACTCAAGGCATTATTGTGAAGCACGGAATATGTTATTCTCAGATGTGCCCACTAACATCCTTCTAATTTGAACAGTGCTCTTCTGGCTATCGTGCTGAAGAAGCAGTGGAATTGTTAAAAGCTTTCTACAGACAAGAAAATCCCAATGGTAGGTTTTACATTAATGCATCCATTTTGGTGCCAACATAATTTAAAAGAATGTTGGCACTGGAATTACTGTAATTCACTTCTGATGATTCTTTTCCTTTCCTGTTTCTTGGCAGCACCAAAATCAAAAGTACGGAAAAAGGATCGGCGTCAGTAGCCCTACACCGGTGGGACACAGAAACTTACCAGAAAATGATAGGTTTCTTCAGCATACTGCTTTTTTAAAATGTACAGGTCAATCAAACTGTGTTTCATTTTCTCCACAGAGTTTTTACTAATAGGATACTTATGTACCTGCTCCTGTGTTCCTATATTTATGATTTCTTGTTATCGTGACAAAACAAGAGAATAAATGGCTGTTTTTGGAAAGAGGAAAATTGGTGGTTCAAGTCCACTCATTTACAGACAGATCCATTAATATGGTGCTTTCTAGAACACATTCTAGAATATTTTTTTCCTTCCATGTGTGGAGAAGCATCTTGCTTTTCAATAGGAAATGTTTGTGTAGGCAAGCAAGTAACTCTTGGGGGGTTAAATTTTTAAGTCCTTTACAGTTTGTGTGTGTATATGTATTCAAAAGGAATTGTACAATCCTTGAAGACTTAGGACCATTGCAAATGTTTCCTTGTTTTTTTTCCTACCTTAGAACAAACCAGATTTTCAGAGGTAACTTCTGAAAGTCACATGCCTGTGTAGACAGGGACATACACACAATCATGTGTCTGTGTGTGCTGTTGCTTAGTAAGAAAGGATAAGCAAATGTCATTTGGCTGCACAGCACTTCCAGACAAAGTTGTGGAGACACTCTCCACAACTCTCTTTAGACTGTCCACTCCTGTTGTGAATATCAGTGTAAGAAATACTTTATTTTTAAGAATCCACTAAAAAGTTTTCTCAGCTCCTAAATTATAATAACCAAGATGGGCAGATAAAAGTAAAAACCAGGAAATGAAGTTGGTAATAACATGAATATAATATATTTAAGATATTTATCTTTTCATAATGTTGGTTTTTCTTTGTCATTTCCGTGTTCTTTGCTTGGCCATGCAGTAATTTATAATCCAGAAGAGGGCCTTCAAGTTCCACTAATGAATTAAGAGTACAAGAACGGTTCAATCTTGATTGTATACCTTTTAGTGGATACTTACGTGAAGGGTGAAATTGTTTGTAGTTTATTTGGCTGTTATTCAGAAATTTGAGAAATGCCATCGCTTTTTTTATTTCATGCAGAAGAGTGTTCAAGGTTTTATAACTATAAAAACTGAATACTATTAAGCTTTTTAGATATTTCAAATAAATGCTTTAAAAAGTTTTTAAAAACAATATTAAAAGCATTATTTTGTCACCATTGCTCTTAATAACTTAGAATTTGTATTTTATGTATTTACTTGATGTTTACAAAGTGACATGGGAAGTAAGCATTTTTACCATAATATCTATTTTTAGAGTTTAGAAATAATATTTCTTTGACTTAAGCCTTTTAACTGATGTCAGTAGCCTATCCTATTCTCCTGACCATTACTTAGAACCCTCTTTCAGTCTTTCACATTCCATAGGCAAAAGTTATGACTGTGTTTGTACATTTAATCTCTTCAGAGCTCCAAGGGCTTGTGAACCAGACAGCTAAGCTGGAAAAGCTGTTTAGGAAAAGACCATTTTTAATGACTGGGATGGCTTTATTGGAAAGAAACAGGCATGCCTGTGGTTATGGTATTTGGCTGGTGATAGAAGAGGGCAATTTATCACTACAGATACATTCACATCTCAGCTGGACCACAATTTTCTTATACCTTGAAGAAGTCACTGAAGTCCAGATTAAAGACATCAGACATCTGGCTTGTCACTGACATCAGTGACAGTAGGAATCGGAGCCTTCATGCTGTTTTGAATCAGGACCTAAACCTCTCCACATCTTTTCTCTTTCAGAGGGGCTATGAACACTTTCCCATTGTCTTCTTTCAAAGAAGGATATTACACACACCGATGTGTGATGGTAGGAGCCATGTAAATAAGTAGAAAGATTACTGGTAGGACAAAACACATTTTAAAAGCTTTGTCCAATTTTTCAACCCTTAAGTTGGAACAGAATTTTTTTGTCAGTGGTAACCTGTCACTTAATATAACAGTTCAAATCTTGCGCAAAGCCAAAAGAGAATGAAGAGGGTGAGAAAAATAAAAATTTCTGTTGAGAGTGATCAAGGCTAATAATGTGCATCTTGGAACAGAAGTAGGGAGGGAAAATAGTGTAGCAGGATAAAAACTGTAATTTTATAGAAAGGTTGTAAAAAATACTTCTGTTTAATGTATAAGCAAAAGGACAGTGGTCTAGTACTGAGGTGAATTTGGATGGGGGAGGGGTTTGTTTTGTGTCTTTTTGTTGTTTGGTTGGTTGGCTGTGTTTGGGGTTTTTTAGCATAATAATTAGCTTGGGGAACAAACTGCTGGAAGATTACACAGGAAGCAAAAATGCAACCTATTCATCTGAAAATCCTGCTATGTACCTGAGTAAGAACAAATGCAGATACACAGGTATTTTTATAAAGCAAACAAATCAACTCGTGTGTGAACACAAGCCATTCCTCAGAGCCATGCAACTGACCCCTCCTTGCTTCCCCCCCCCAAAATAAATGAACCACACACATCTCACCAGGCAGCAGGAGCCAGGGAGGCTGGTTTTGTGCCACTGCCCTCAGAGGTGCACCTCAGGCCAGGTGTCCCGGTGTGCTGTGCCACAGCTCTTCCTAACTGTGACTTTTGAGCTTGTCAGCATGTTTTAGAGTCAGATTTGCAAACTCGAGAGATCCACAAGAAATTACAGAGGTCCTGGGTAGAAGGTTCTAAGTTCAGGCTCAGAGAAACCTCTCTGTGACTAAGCGCAGGGGCTGGGAAAAGGCATGAGGAAACCATGACAATTACAAGCCAATGAACTGACTGGTTTGGGTGCTCCACATCACCAAACGAGCTTAGCAAGAAAGAGAATTAGAGAATACAGAAAGAATGTTAGGAAAAGAATTGAAGCATTCTTGGGAGCTTATTCAGTGATAAGATTCTTGCTTATGGCTGCAGAAGCACAGGCTTGGTATGTAACTGCTGCCACCAGGTGCAATCCTGCAGCAAATTGGGTTACGCATCCTGGAAGAAGTATTGCTGTCTTTGCTGGGGACCTGGTGTCAGGCTTTGGCACTAGCTTTAGAGGAGTGTCAAAAGCAACAACTCTTAATTGTTACTGACACCTGGAAAACTCAAGAGCAGCAGCTTATAAATGGTGCTATTCATTTCCACAGCGCTTTTACTTATTTTTATCTATTTGTTTCTAGGTTGCCACATAGCAGGCCTCAAGAGCTGCAGTAAATATATTCAGCTGGTTTATTTAAAGAAGTTTAAATGCTTCACCATTTTCCCCTTGCTGCTTGATAAATAAACGTTTGGGCTTCAGGGTTACATTTACCTTGGACTGCATTTTTGCCAGTTCATCACAGGTAAACATGATTTTATTTCTGCCTTTGGTTTGCTTGTCAATAGTCTGACATCAAATTATATTGAACCAGCTAGGAGGGCAGGAAGCAAAACAACACGTCTTTGTCTCTGCTAAACCGATTACAATTGACAATCCAAGGCTATAATAAATATGTCTTGTGACTTGCACACTAGAGGAGAGCCTGAATTTAAATTATAGCTTTGGGTTTTGAAATGCTCACTGATCCATTCCATTCCCATTAAGAGCGCCTTCCGCTCTGCAAAATTAAGTGATATCTTTACATGACAGTTTAATTTAATTAATTAGTTTTTCGATACGTACGTTTATGGAGTTTCTCCATTAAGCTTTTGAAATGTCTGTAGGTCCTATGCATTAATGTAAATGCGCCATGGTCCGTAATTACCTTTGGCAGGCTTAGGGCACTGATAAAAAGATTATATTTTTAAAAACTAAAGTCTTCAAACTTCCTCGGTGCTTGGCAGGAAATCTATTTCTGTGTTTTATTTGGAGCAAGGCTGTGGAGCCTGCAGCCAACAACTCCAGTGTAGGCAGTAACTGTTAAATTTTAGAAGAAAATACATTTGAGGCTAAATGAGAGAAAAGGACAATTAGTGCAAGAGTACTAGAAGCAGCTGTTTGTGTGTTTTGCCTTGTGGCTGCCAATATATACCCTTTATCATTAAAGTGCATCTAGAAACAAGGTATTTTCCATGAAATTACTTCACAAAACATGGATCTTTGTCTTTTTAAGAGGCTGCTCCAAAGTGAGTTTATCTTCCTTTTTCACAATAGCTCTGCACCAGCCAAGAATACTGGATTCTCCCTTTGCCTCCTCCTCCCTCCTTTCTAAAAATGAACTTTTCAGGAAAATACGGATTTCAGAGAAGTTTGAAGGAGAGCAGATGGCCAACAGTGATCCAATAGGATGTAAAACTTTAGTTAGGTAGTTGCTTGGCAGGCAAGTACAAGTGAGCCTGTGATGTTTCCATAGTGATGTTTTCACATGGTGCCTTCCTTTTGTCTTTTAAAAATCTAAGTGATTTAAAAAAAGAAACAGGGGGCGTGGGGGTAGAGGGGGGTAGAGGATAAAATAAAATGAAGAGCTCTGCCAGGGGCAAAGACTTGGGCTCATCTCTGATTTGTGCTTGAGCAGTGATGCACTGTCCTCAGCTACAGTGGCACTCATAAGCCTCAGTTGCTGTGGTGCTTGTGTGCTGTCCTGCTGGATAAAGCAGGGACAGCTTCTGAAATTATGACTGAGATTGTAGTGTTCTTGGAGGGACACTGATTTTTCTGGTGTCAGGATTTCACATTTACCTGTGGGGGAAGGTTTGCTGTGGCAGTTCTCTAACCATCAGAGCTTTCTCTGCATGCAAGGAGGCACTGCAATAAAAATTAACACTTTCTGTGACTTTGATTCCTACTTTCTCCTTTCAAGCCTTAGAGGCAGCCATCATAGCCACATTAGTTTGGGAGGATATAAACAACAGCCATTATCTGTGCTGCCCCATTGCGCAAGAGAAACAAGGTTTGTAGGGAGGGGCAACATCTTCTATTAAGCCAAATGACACTTGGAAGAAAACAGGCAAAATTTTCAACATCCAGCCATAGGGACACAGAGTTCAAAAGCTTGCCAGCTTTTTCCACGCACTTAAAGTAAGTAAAATGAAGACAAGTAACTGTGTTCCATCTCCCTGTAAAACCTGCTTTTCTTGAAAGAAAAAATACAGGACAATTTGATTATCAGCTAATTTGAGCAGGAAAGGTTTGTTAGGAGACTGGACTCACGGTAAACTCTGTTTCAAACTCTGCAGAAGAGCCTTCCACTGCCTCTGCACAGATGTGTCAGCGCTTGTGCCAGCACTCTGTGAGGCTCCAACGCAATTTTCCCTTCTCAGATTTTCCCTTCCCATTCAGCAAGGTGCTGAATACAGCAGCTCATTCACTGAGCCCCTCACCCTTGAGCTAGCGAGACTCTTCTGAGGAGAAGCAGGTGACAGGGGCAGACTGGTTCACATTGCCCATGGTTTATGAATCCCAGCACAAGCTGCTCTGGGTGCTGAGGTACAAGCAAACAAAGTCAATTTATCCCGTGAGCAGAGTTACCTAGCTGCCCTTTCGTGCTCTGCC